CACCATTACCACTCACTAATACCAGTAAAATTCTCTTGTTTATTGTGAAATAATTTGTAAAGATTTTTGGCTGCTACAGAGACATGGAACACATCATCACCTGTGGTTTCTTCTAACCATAAAATATTTAGCCTTTCTGAGAATTTAAAAAGCCACCACTGGTTCCCAGTCAGCATATACAAGCTCTTAATATACTGTTTATTATTAAACAATTCAGTGTACTATTTTATATTGGATAATATTGATTCTTAACACTGGCTTTCTAGTCATCAAGAGTCAACATAAAATTTCCAATTTTCAGTAATTTAGTGGAAGGTATTTTTTCCCCCCAATTTTAAAGGCTTCTTGTTCTCTACACTTGTATATTATCAGTGAAAAGGATCAACAGCTAACTTGGGGCAAGTAATAAAATAAATTTTGCATTTGTCATGAAGACAATTTATGGTAGACATGAATATACAGATTACAAAATTAAGTCTTCATTTAACCTGTTTATATATGATACAGGGCCACACTAAACTATTCAGTGGGATTTATCTATTCCGTTCACTTGAAACAATAAACAATAACGTATCCAAGAAGAATGTGTCCTACCCTGTCTCGTATGGAAAAATAAATTATATGGTTGAAATGTAAAAGAAAGTATAAAAGTCAAGTAATGTATGCATCGATCTGGTTTTTTTAAATTAGACATAAATTCCACAGTGGCGAACATAAACATTTAACTAAAATTCAGATAAATCACCCACATTGACAATATTAATATGGTTCCTTCGCTGTTTGAGTAAGTGACATGATTTTTTTACTCTGGTAGCCTGAATAAAGTAAAAAGGAGATTTCTCAAACATTTCTTGAAGTTTGTAAATAACATACTTGTATCTTTTAATTTAGGAGGTGGTCTTAAAATACATAAATTTGTCTTTCTACCTGTGATTGATAACCAAATTTAAAGGAAAAGCTAGATGAGATCCTGCAAATAAATAAAGCTATGAGATAAAATTATAGCACTTTACGAAGAAAGGGGTATAATGCTATTTAAGCATGTTTTCTATAGATGACTTTTGCCACTATCATAATTTTTTGCTTAATTTCTTTCCTGTGTTAACTAGGGGATATTTTCTAATCAAAATAATCCTGCTAGGTAATCGATACCACCCAATATTACAACACATGAGTGTTATTGATGCACAAAACAATTTCCTAAAATGGGGTGTCTTACTAAAAAAAGAAGCGAGAAAACCCAATATTTTCTTAACTTTAAAACTATGGGACAGGGGGATATAGATTGGAATGCTCCTTTTTTAGTTTTGGGGATTGGGCTTGTTAATTAAGTACAATACCATGGTTTTCGAAATCTGTACTAGGACCATTTTTCAAATACATTTTTTATATTTCAGATGTAATGCAGTGCATTTTTATTTGAACAATAAAAAAAAGCAATCTTTTGAGACCATGCAGGTCTTTTTTTTTCCCCCCTTTTTGAAAGTATGTGTAATTGCAGACTACATAATGTATTTCTTTTCTCTCTTTCTTTTAAGAAGTGACTTAACTCTTGGAAATCGTACTTGGGTTAGTTTGCACCTTAAGTCCCAAAATAGTTAATATCCCAATTATTGTGTAATCTGTCCTACCAACCATTCCATTTTAGATATGATTTTATTTAACGTGACTTTCAAATATATATTTCAACATATCATATTCACAAAAACTGATTTTAGTATTCATGTGAAGTATATTTTCCCCTTCTGTTTCTCATTACTGTAAAGTTTATTAGTAATTGAAAATTAATTTTTTGGTAAATTACGACACTTATAGTCATTTTTATTCTCAGGGAAAAAAAGGGTGTGGGAGTAAATAGTTTACTAACTGATCCTGTCTTGTTCTTCATGAAAATATTATCCCATCTTTCTTTTGACTCAAATAACCTAAATACATATTTCATAAAAATTACTTTGCACTCTATATTATTCAATTTAATTTTAAAAACAATACGAAGTGTTGAACTAAACAGGGAAACTCAAGATCACAAAACATTTTCAGATACTGTGATTCATTCAATGTATTTTAATTGTGATGTTTATCAGAAACACTCATTTCCAGAGACCTGGCATTACAGAACAGAACATTTAAAGCACGCCCAAACTTCCTTTTAAATAACAAATTTTAAAATCAGGATTATTTTGAAATGGTTAAAATATCAATGGAAAACCAGTTCACTGTGTTAAGTAACTTTATAATATCGAGTCAGAATTCCATTCACTCAATGTATTTTTACCTTAGATAAATGAATCTCTCCAGATGTTTTCTAATATCAGTTTGATATACTTACATTAAACTTTGTAAATTCCGGGTGCTCCTGAACCTCTTAGGAAATATACACCCCATTGATAAATACTTGCTTAAAGAAGCCACAACACTCAAGGAGCTGGTGTTATTGTGAATTAACTGGTGTGAATTCCAGGTGACTGGAATTTAGGAGAGCATCATTAGTACTTGAATAAACAACCTACTACTATGTTACACACCTTGATTACAAAAATACCATCACTTGTATTTTGGGTAAGTGAATATAGAGAAAAATTTGCCACTGTGGCTTTGACATAAATAAGAATTCCTTTATAATGTGACAGTTGGAATACAGAACTAATAGTTATGTTGTAAGAGGTTTCGTACTACTGCCTTTAAATGAATTCACTTTTGAAAGGTGAAAGCCAGTTTTGCATGCTCAATACTTAAGAACCAAATACAAGAAAGATGATACAAGAGGATGTTTTCAATAAAGAAAAAAGCTAACTAGGTAGGCAGCTTTGGCTTTGAAAAGTAATGCCTTAAAGAAATAAGAAAAAGAGGAATTAAACCTAAATCTAATTCCAAGAGATCATTTGCTTGTGAAAATAAGTTATCTTTCAAAGTTTCTTTTGTCCAACATTTCAGAAGGCATACTTAGGAAATGAGAAATATAAATAACTATATACTAGTATATACAGTTTATATGTATAGTATTCAAATTTTGAGCTCCATTCCTATATTCAGCACTGTGATGGTTAAGAATTTCAGAAACTGCAGAAAGAAAATTAAATAGTCTGTTTTTAAGAAGCTTAAAGTTTAAAAAATTAGTTGTGTGACCTAACAGTAATATTAAAGACAGGAATAGGCTAATCACAAATACTGAACGTAAAAATGAATGTTTATTTGCAAAGTGTTAGGGTTGACATGATTTCAGTTGGTTTGCTCAATATTTGTATAGTTATCTTACATTGTACTCTGCAACTCAAAAGATCCAAGGTATCACAATGTTGGTTGACCAGTACATACATACACATTAGTGCTAATACTTTACTTTTGTACTGGGCTTTATATTTGACAATTTTCCCCCCAACATATGAAGTAGATAGCAAGTTCTTTTCATCCCCATTATGTGAGTTAAGAAATGTATGTATGGAATTTGCAGAAGTTAAATACTCAAATTTTGTTTAGATCACAATATTCAAATATAAAACAATGGAACACTAAAATGAGAATATAATATGTGACCCAGTGAGTAGCAGAAAAGGTGGACCTACAGTGGCTGAAGAGGTCCCAGTCCTGACCACAGAAGGGCGTCTTCGGGATCTTAGCAAAAGCTTGAAAACTCATGATTTAGATAGATTACATGAACAGTGAGTGCATAAATACGAATTCTTCGTTTTAGGATTTTCTTTTAATTCCCTTTCTCCTGGATATTAAAAGGTCAGAGTACCTAGGCTTAAAAGCCACTGTGTAAGGGCCATCTCCCACTGTCATCAATTCTCTGGAAGGGGAGGAATGCAGCAGAAGTCGCTTCCGCAATCTTTAGGTGAAGATACTTCCATTTAAAATTCGTTTCCACTTTAATAGTAGCAACCAGTTGCTTCTTTATAACTTAAAGAATGGAAAAGGGAGATAGATTGGTAGCCTTTTCCATTCAAAAAGGATAGCCTACAGCAAATATTGGGATATGTGCGTTTAAACACATTTAAAAATTCATGTATGGATTTGTCAATTTGAAGGAAGGTGACTTACAGGAGCCACAGAAAAGAGGATCTGGTACGGCTCGGGTAGCTGCACAGTGAAGCAGGAACAGTCGGTGCAGTTTGACATTACCCCAGAATTTTTCGGAGGCTTCTTTGTTTTAATCATTTTATTCAGCACAACACAATTTGGTTTCTAGGTTTAGGGGTGACCCTTCTGTGAAGAAACTCCCGTCATTCCAGTTAGCTGTTGCCAGGAACACGAAACTAAACTACAACAGTTCGTGTAGACGTGGCATGTTCCTTTTAACCAGATCACACTTAATGCTGCTTTTCAGACTCGAAAGCTTACTTATGATACGTGTAAGCTCTAGACAAGATTTTACCGTGCTGCCAGTGATAATTGGCCTTAAGTCTGAAAATGGTACTTTACTCATATATATATAGTGAAAGAAAACACTGAAGGAAACTCAGTTTGCAGGTGAGGTTGAAAATGCTAATTGGAACAGATGAACCAATTAAATGTTTATGCCATAGACTGAACTATGCCTTGTGCATAAGAGATGCTGATTAAAACTCGGTTGGTCAGAAATACATGCCTCCCTCCAAGCTGGCTTTTCAGCAACGTGTTGACTGGCAGTGTAATCTATTTCGATCTCTAGCGGAAGCAATCAGGACACAGATAAAGTGGTGGTGGGGGGTGGCTACCCTATGGTCACAAAAACCATCCACCAAGCTTAATCCACTACAAACGACACGTTTAGTTTCGGTGATAAGAAATGGGAAAAGCACATGGTGAAGACTGACTTCACAAGGGAACAGGCCCCGCCCCTGCCTGCGCAATTCCGGTTTGACTCTGGGGAGAACTCTACGCCAGCAGCGGGAAAGTTTCGTGCGTGCGCAGTAGACCTGCCCGGTGCCGCGTGGGAAAGGCGGGACTTCCCTGTCTCTTACGTCATCTACAGTGCGACGCAAAAATCACTGGCTTGACTGGGAAGGTCAATAGTGGCTGTGGGCGGGCTCGCGTTCGGTCGCGGACGCGTGCGCGCAGCGGCTTCGGCCGAGCAGTTTCGGCAGCTATTGTGAAACTAGGTTTTGGGTTCAGCCCTGGCGGGGACATGCTGTGTCGGCTTGGCGGTATTGGGCTGCGGCCGCTGCTTGCCCTGCAGCTCGGGGCCTGGGGCCCTCAACGTGCCCCCGCCCCAGCTGGCGGCGCTAAGCGCTCCGCTTTGCCACTGCGGGCTGTGGGTTCCGTCTCGGCAGTTAGCCCGGGCGGCGCGGGCGGCTGGTACGAGGCCCTGGCCACATCGGCGCCTGTGCAGGGCGCGGAGGAGCTGCTGCTCGGCGCGCACACCGCCATGGGCCTGCCGTGGTGGGGCAGTATCCTCCTCACCACCGTGGCCCTGCGAGGCTCCATCACGCTGCCCTTGGCGGCCTACCAGCACTACATTCTGGCCAAGGTGAGGGGCGCCGAGCCGCGCGTGGACTCTGCGCATTCGCCTCGGCTGTGAGCGGCGGTCTGCTGAACATCCCCGGATACTTCCGTAGTGCTTGGTGTTAATCATCTTGAGCACTTAATTGCTAAGAAATTTAACTAGCACTGGATGTGTGAAGTAAGAGTTTGGCGACACGTACATGTCATTTCTTTTATCCTGCTGGGTTACTAAGCTTGTTGTTAGAGAAATAAAAGAACCAGTAGCAGAAATTGTATGGTGAAACCTACAAAGTTACCTTCTTAGCGATTTTAACAGCCTGTATGTCTGCAGCATCATTCGTCCTCAAATATTCCAACTGACCTTCCTTATTAGAAAAAAAAAAAAAAACTCCACTAAACTAGCAGTTTGCAAGCTTTATTCCTTATTCAGGCTGTACCAGCTACAGGCCGATGTCTGGTTATTCTTAGCCACTTGATCTCAATTGCTTCCGTATCTTTTCTGTGGAACTCATAGTAATACCTTCCTACCCTATTTCACAGTGAGAGCTAGTCAGATAATATGCGTTAAAGTGCATTGAAAGCAAAGTATTATCAAAGGTGAGTCTTCAAAAATAATGGCTTTCATGTTTTAAGATTATTATCATTGGGGGGAAAAAACCCAGAAACAAACAGGGAGGGAATCAGCATCATTAAGGCAGTGAGCTACTTTACAGAAAGAATTACAGGGCAGATATAAATGCAAATTTTGGAGGCTCTGTGGCTGTTACAAAGCATATTAAAGACTCTTAATTAATGGACTTCTATTTTTTCAGTTTAAGCTACTGGGAAATCCAGGGATGAAACATGAAAGTGGAGGGAGCAGTTCTCATTTAATCCTTATAATAACCCTGAGAAGTAGGTAGTTACACATTTTATATATGAGGGAACAGGATCTTAGAGGTTAAGTAACTTGCCCAAGATGATACAGTTAAGTGTACAATCTGGTATTTGAATTTGGTTGTAACTGAGGATACTTGAAGCAAATACACTTCTTATGCTTAGACTTAAGGTTTCTTGACATCAGTACACCACATTTTTAAATGAGTTGAGGGAATAGAAAATAAAATTATGAGTAGTTATGAATAAAGATCCTTTATGTACGCATAACAAATTCTGCTTTTTCTTTAGCTAGGTGGAAAATTTGCAGCCAGAAATAAAAAACATTGCCAGGCATCTTAACCAAGAAGTTGCAATTCGTGCAAATCAGTTGGGGTGGTCCAAAAGAGTTGCCAGGTAAGCTAATTCTATGCATATAAGACCATGAAAACACACACACACACACACACACAGACACACACACACACACACACACACACGATGTTAATTATAGATTAACATAAGATGTGGTTTATTGTAGATTTAGCAGCAAAAGTAGTTCTTTTTACACTTTAATATTTTAATAAGTTTTTGTGGCATAACAGTATTATATGCTGGACTGAAAGCAAAGAAATGGAGAAACAAAGATGATAAGGACAAATTTCTTGTTCTTAAGGGACTCCAGCCTACCAAAAAAGACCCGTAATCAAATAATGACTGAATTAAGTACTATCAAAAGAAGGTTTTGTGCAAGGAGTTGGATCATAGAAAGTTGGGGAAGGCTTTACAGGATAAAGATACTGTCCCAGTCTGTTGGGATTTTAGTCAACAAGTGATAAAGGTTATTTACAAACTTGACCTTTTTGAAAAGATATATTGGGTTGTCGGAAAAGCCATCACGTATTTTTTCTATGTTTTTCGTTGCAAAAATGTGTCATGACTTTTCCGACAACCCAATAGTACACAATAACGCATAGGAATAGGGAAGTAGAAAATGTGAATGTCATGATAGAAGCAACTGGCTACCCAGGGTACTGTCTATCCATTGTAGTTACCTTGTATAGTTAGTTGTCTGCATGGGTTCTTAGAAAGCCTTTGCCCAAGGGTGTTTGACCATGCTGCTGTCATCCACTGGGAACCTCTAAGTCCTCTTGCTTCAATCATCCTACGCTACTACTTAGTTTCCCAAATTCTGATCCTTACTAGACTGAAAAGTGTTTACCATTTCACAGCAATGAGAAAAATAAAGGCTTTGTAGTATAAATATGCACACGTATAGGTATGGTTATTCATATGTTTTTTATAGGTGTAAATTTGCCAACTATCTTCAATATGAAATTGCTTCTCTTTATTTAGTGTTAAAAAAACCCTGACATTTAAAAGTCATTGTGGTAGTTTAATGTCTTTATGTAATAAAATTAAAAGTTGACAAACCTAAAAAAAAAAAAAAAAGTTTGGCAAACCTATAGTTTTGAAGTTTTACTGATCAGAGAAATCTCAGCACTACAGCCCTAGGCCTAAAGAACAAGTTAGTAGCTGCTCACCTGGGTAGTAATTGCAGCTAGATATGACGAGTACCTTGCTTATGCAGCACTGGCAGGATAATTGTCTAGTCACATTCTTACACAGATGGGTGGCTTTCTAGGAAGACATATCTGAGGGTTTCCTGCATTTTCAATGGAACTGAGTCTTGAAAGATGAAAGGAAGTTTGTCAGGTGGACAGCCAAGATAGTCAGCTGTCCGCACAGATGATACAATAATTTCCAAAGGCATGCTGATGTGAAAGTCTGATGTGTTGGATGACCTAAGTAATTCAGGCACCAGAATATACAGGTGTCTATAGAAGAGTAGCAAGACATAAAGTTGGAAGAGTAGGCCGAGACTATATTACAAAGAGCCTAGAATATCAGTGTGTACTGTCTTAATTCATTACCCTGTAATTCAATCAGATTCAGCAAACCTATTGATGCCTACCCTGTACAGAAATGCTACAAGAGATTTAGAGATGAACAAGACCTAACACTTGGACCTTCAAGGAGACTATAGGCTGAAAGGGAAACTTAAGACAAGAACTAATATGGTTAACAGAGAAACAGGTTAAGAAAATCTTCATGAAAGAGATGATTGAAGAATGGAAACCATTTTGGATAGGCCAGGAGCATACACTGTACAAAACCACATTGCTACAGAAAATATATTCAGGTAGCAAGTAATTGAGCTTGGCAGGAGTGGAGGGGTTTGAGTAAACTGCTTTCACCTTTAGTATTTCTGATAGAAATTGTGGTTCATAATGTGTTAGTTAGTAGTGCAGTTTCCCTTTGCAAAGCCTAGTTGGCCAAAGGCCACCGCGGACAAAGCCTATAGTCTGACAATATCAGATCATTGAATTGTAATTTGAGTACATTGCTAGGTATTTTGCAGTAAAAGGCTTTGTCTTTTGTTTAGGCGGCTCCTTATGGCTGTGACAGCTAAAAATCCTACACAAATTCTTCAGCCAGTATCCACACATGGCTGTGTTTGTACTGTGGTATGAAGCACTATTAGTCCTCAGATGATATTTTCTCCTTCCCCTTTTTCCCTCTTCCCTCAAACTAGGCTCACTTATCTGAAGAATATGCGGAGGCTTGTTTCAGAGCTGTATGTACGGGATAACTGCCACCCTTTCAAAGCCACAGTGCTGGTGTGGATTCAGCTTCCAATGTGGATCTTCATGTCTGTTGCTCTGAGGAATTTTAGCACAGGGACAGCACATGCAGGAGGTAGTTCCAGAACCTGTTCCCCCAAATGGCCCTCTGACGTTGTCTTTGTAGTACTCTAAAGAAAAAACAAAACCATGCTTTTCATAATAAAAATACTTGAACCATCGTCCTTGTAAAAGATATAAATACAGAATTCAAAATAGTAAGTATAAGCAAACTAGCTGTGTTGAGAAAACGAACCTAGGAAGGACAGCAGTAATCCCGCTTCTTGGAAGTCATAATAAAATTAGTGTTATCATTTCATAATTTGGTTTCCCAGCCAAAAATTCTTTCTGCTTAAAAATTAAGAGACCAGAAAAGCTTTCACAGTTATAAATGTAAACAATTAAGAAGTGATATAAACTAAAGAATTTGTTTTTTTACTTCCACTTAAAGGCATTTAAGTCTGAAAAGATGACTGCTACATATCTTTCTGCTCTCTACGTCTGTTTGCTACAGAAAGCTGTTTACCTTTTCCTCAGTACAGAAAGGACTAATTTGTGTGTATAATGAAAATAGCCTGAATAAAACCAATTCCTGTCTTTAGTGTGAGGGACACCTTATTGGAATTATCATACTACTTATGGCTTGCATGTTTCTTGTTGCTGTTTTTAGAACTTCTTTTATTTATAAAACTTTCAGCAGGTTTTTCTGTTCAGGAGCAGTTAGCTTCTGGCGGGGTCCTGTGGTTTCCTGACCTCACTGCACTGGATTCTACGTGGATTCTGCCTGTCTCCCTTGGTGTCACCAATTTATTAATAGTAGAGGTCAGTGGTTTTAAATGAATTTGTTTGCCATTTTAATCATTAAATTTTTGTTGTTGCTGTTCTGACATCAAATTTAACTGTGATTGAGTTGGTGGTGATAGCTCTGAGCTAGAATGAAGACTCCTTAGTTTCTAGTCACAGATCAGCCATTGACAAACTAATGTCCATCTTAGGCCAGCTCCTTAGCCTCTCGGTAGAGGGTCAGAATGCTCAGAATTAAAATAAGACAGCTGAATTAGAACATTTCGAAAGTCTGTTTCAGCTTTAAAATTATATGATTCTAATACCTTTAATTTTATGATTTGCTTTTGGTAAAGAGTGATTAAGATGCCTAATCAATCTGGTTTTATTCCCACAATAGATTGGTGTTTTTTCTATATGTTTAATATGTAAATTTGTAAGGAAGGAACACAGTCAGTGCCTGCCTGCCATTTTTCAGCTATATGACCTTAGAGAAACCATAGAACTTCTTTATAAGATGGAGTGGAAAAACATGTAAAATATGACCTCTCAGCCATCCAGGTCTTACCATTATCCCATGTTCCTTTACACAGCAGTTTAGGGGAAGCATGCCTTTAATTTCAGAAAGAGTTGTCCTCCGACTCTGAGTGGAACATAAACTCTTTGAAGTGGAAGAAATGATCTACCTCAGTTGAAATCTCAGAGACCTCATGTTCCCTGATCTCTGAGAAATCTGATATGCCCCTTTTTCAGACATGAGAAATGAAGATGATACTGTAAGATGTTTTGGGGTGGGAGTTTCTTGGGAAAATACTCCAGGTGGAGTCTAAGTATGTTTTCCTAGAAGCACCTACCTGAGTCCTGTGAGTGTGATTGATACTTAGTGAACATTTGTTAGAGAGAAGGGACTGAAAAACACAAGGTCACCCGGGATTAATGGCAGTCTTTACTTTATACCATCTCCCAACCCAGCATGCATAAGTTCAGTAAAAGCTTATTCTTACTTAATATACACCATGTGCCAGACACTATTTTAAGCAATTTACATGAATTAACTCAATGATCCTGTGATGTAGGAACTATTACTACCCCCCATTTTAAGGTTGATAAAAGGAAGCACAGAAAGATTAAGTACTTGCGCAAAATCACATAATCACTATATGCAGGGCTGCCATGTGAACCTAGGTAGTGTAGGCCTAGAGTCTGTGCTCATAATCATTACACTATGGTGCCTCTTAATAAATAACTCCTAAATCATAACTGCTGCTTTTCCTAGCTTGGGTTCTTCCCCTTAATCCATTTGCCAGATCACAAACCTCTGAGATACCAAGTTCCTTCTTTATGCCAGGCACTGTATTTAAGTACCAAAAAACAAGGGTAATGTTTCATACCTAGTACCTATCTTGGGGAACTTTTCAGTCTTATAGTTTTTTTTTAATGATTTTTTTTTAATTACAGTGGACATACAATATTATATTAGTTTCAGGTATACAACATAGTGGTTGGACATTTATATAACTTATGAAGTGATTACGCCCAGTCTTACAATCTTTAAAAAATATTGACTTGTAAAAATTATGCTGTGATTCTGTTTAATATAGCTGAATCTCTTCTTTATTGCTATTAATTGAAGCTACATTTAAGAATTCTGCATAATTAAGTTTTTTGTTGTTTTTTTTTTTAAAGATTTTATTGGGGAATTGGGGGAGGAGAACAGCGTTGGGGAATCGGGGAAGGGGAACAAACAAATTGCTATCATTTTGTTCTTCAGTCTAGTTGTGGAGGACGTCGCTTCACTGGCCCATGTTGGTATTATCATTGCGCTCTTCCCTGTTGAGGCAGATCGGTCACCGACCATTGGACAGCCGCTCACGCTGGCTGCCAGCCACTCATGGTAGCGCACAGCAGCCCACTGCAGCCCCACTGCAGCCTACGCCATTGCCGGCGACTCATGGCAGCCCAGCTCCAGGTCAAGCTGTTGTTCACCATCTTAGCTGTAGAGGGCGCAGCGTCACTGGCCCTCATGTGGGATCCAAACTGGGGCCCTGCTGCTCAGAGCTCACGCTCCCAAGCCAACTCTTAACCAACACGCCACTCGGCCAGCCATGCATAATTAAGTTTTTTAAAAGAGATAATCAACCAAATAAATTTATCAGTGTTTTATTTTTAATTTTTTGCTTTTATTAAAATATAAGTGGAGGCCAATCAAAAGTCAGTTTGTATTTTAAAGCTTGTCTAATTTAATATGCACTTTAATAATCATTATATTTGTATATACCCCTTCAGATTTTTGCTCTGCAGAAAATTGGAATGTCTCGTTTTCAGATGTATATGACATACTTTATGCGGGCGGTGTCAGTGTTAATGATTCCAATTGCTGCAACAGTACCGTCAGTAAGTAAGCGCGGGCATTGTGTGTAGCTTGTGCTAAATCCTGTCTCTTCTTAGCTTACACTGACTGGGGTTCTGCCTCTCCTGTTGAGCTTCCTCTGAATACTCAATCCCTTCCTGGTTTCCGAGTTTCTGTAATAACTAATCTACTGTCTCTTTTACCAAGTGACACTTAAGTATCTCTTGGGATTGGTTAATCTTTCTTTAGGTAAATGTGTCTTAACTCGCTTACTAAATCAAACTCTGTTTTAATCTTGCCAAGTACCTTGCACAGTACTATGAACAAAGTATTTGCTCTGTTTGATTAGCTGAAATATTGGAATTTTTTTTTTTCTACATATACTGGACCAAGGAATTTAACCCTTAAAAATAAAGAAAACTTTGTGCCAAGTCTGCATGGGTTCATATGTGATACTATTTAACCTCATACAGTTCTGTGAGATAGGTACACTTGTCCCCATTTATATGTAATTAAACTTGATAGAAATAGAAAAAGAAATTGTTATGTTTATAGTTATTTCACATGTTTAGCCTTTTGCTCATTTTCCATGGACTCCTGAGTGCTAAGAGGGCAAAAGCTGTGTCAGGTATAGCTCTGCCTCTTCTCAGAGCCGACACAGAGAACATAAAGTAGAATTTATTTACTGCTGGTAGTTAGGGCTATATCAGCATATATAAAAATTCTCCATATTACTTGTCTTAGGAATCTCAAACAGTATGTTTACAGCATCAAAAATGTATTTTTTAAAGCTCTTAGATAGAATACTGTCTTTAATCCTGTGTAAAAATAAGTAAGTTTTCACATTTCTAAAATAATGTACAAAAATTAATGAAATTGCATCAAGTGGCTATTATAGTACTTTTCATGTAATAATAGTATTTTTGTAAAGTGCCCTGTGAAAGTGGAACAATACAGATTCATTACATTTCTGGGGAGAAATAATACCAATTATAACTGAGGAAATCCCCACCCCAGATCAAACAAAATAGGAGTAGTGAAGTTTCAGTGAGGAATTGGGTTCAGAGTGAGTAACAGAGATCTAAAAATGTATCTTAAATACCCCAAAGTTTATTCTCTCAAGTATAGGAAATTCAGAGTTAGGCCATTTAGTGTAGAGTTGATGTGGCTGCTCTATGAAGACGTGAGAAACCCAGCCTGCTGCTTCTCTCTCCTACTGCTCCATCAGCCACAGCCTGTAATTTCTGTCCTTGAGGCCACAGTATGGTTGTGAGGCTGCCGGAGCTTATCATCTGCAGGAGTGGTGAAAGGGATGCTCAGGGGGGCAGTCAGCCTCTTTTAAGGAGCCTTGCCAGATGTCCACCACGCACTGTGCTTACTCATACATCTTAGTTATGTGGTCACACCTAATTACAGGAAGGGCTGGAAAGTACTCTTTTTTCCTAGGTGGTAGTATACCCAGCTAAAAATCAGGACTTAATTACCAAGGAAGAAGAACAAGTCTTAGTAGACAGCTTGCAGTCTGTGTAATTGGGTTCAGGGTACCTTTCGGTTAGTGGATAAATCAAATGATGATGATAGCTAGTATTTAGTTAATGTTGACTTTGTGCCAGGCACTGTTTAAAACGGTTTACACATGTTAGCTCATGTAATTCTCCCACCAATGCACTGAAGTGGGTGCTATTATAATCTCCACTTTAGTGATGAAGAAACTTAAGCACAGAGAGGTGAAGTAACTCATCCAAGGTCACACATCATTAAGTGGCAGAGTCTTAACGCACATCCAGGCAGTTTGGCTCCTGCTCTTGACTACTAGGCTATTCTGCCTTTGATGATACATTACTTTCTGCCCCTAAAAGCTTGCTTTTGGAACTAATACAAGTGCTGAATATGGGTCATATACTGTGCTTTCTACTCTATGTGAATTAATTCCTCACAACCTTCTGAGATAGGTATAGTTCTGTGCCCATTTTATAAATGAGGAAACTGAAACAAGAAAAATAACTTACCCAAAGTCAAATAAATGGAATTCAAACGCAAGCAGTGTGACTCCAGGGCCTGGACTCAGCCACCACGTGGTTGTGCCTGTGGGGCCTGATTATCTTCTGATGCCAATGAGAAGTTTGGAACAGATGTATGTATGGGAATGTTTTGAGAGGCTGCAGAACTTAAGAAATCAATTTAGTGGTAATACAAAAGAAAATTCAAGATAATGCTGAGACTGTATGTCTCAGGAAAAGGCAAAGAATGCATTCCTCACTACACTTAGAAAGTGGTTACTGGAAAAGTTTGGAAGATAGATGACTATAGGGAGGAAAATGAAGTCTAGGGAGGCTAAGTTTGCCATCATAAATGGTCATGTCCCCGGTACTGCCTCCAGGATAGCAGCTTGCCAGGACTCTTGGTGGCAAAGAGGCATGCATAAGTGCCACAGCAGGCGGTGAGACCTCTCTTGGGCCTCTGGGAGCTGCTGTCTGTCATCTACTTTCTGTCATGAGTACCTCTCCTTTTGCTCCCCACACACACACACACACTTTTTGGTCTTCCTTTCATTTCTTTTCTTTCTTACCTATTCCCTTCCTTCCTTTTCTTTCTTACCTATTAGATCCATCACAGGTATCTGATGGCTACTGCAAACCTTGTTCAGTCCTGGTGTACGTCTTTTTTACAGAGACTGTAATTTTCTTATTTATTGCCTGCCTGTCTCTGGAGCTTGGTTCCTTGAAGAATGGAGAGGTGTTAATATTCATGTCCTTTCTTCTTTTTACAGTCGATTGTTCTCTACTGGCTTTGCTCCAGCTTCATGGGCCTGTCACAGAACTTGCTGCTGCGTTCTCCTAGGTTTCGCCAACTTTGCCGAATACCAGTGACGAAGGGAGAGTCAGACACTCCTTATAAGGACCTCTTTGCTGCCTTTTACTCCAAGTTCATTTCAAGAAAATGACATACTTTTCAGTGATTTTGAAACAGAAGTGTCACACCACCTTAATATATTTAAAAGATTTAGAAATTCAGATATGATTTAATTGGCCTTTATTTAAAATGAGAATATATAATCCAGATATATTTGACAATACCTAAAATCTTTTAAGTGCTAGAAATGTATGTTTAATTATGTGCTAAGAATATACAAGTGGAATTAAAATGTCTGGCTCTGTTTAGAAAAATTACAACTTGCTAAAGGTGCTAGAACTTTGGAGAACAGGACTAGATACTGACCGATGTCAAATTGTACTGAACAGTTCCACACGTTAAAATTTTATAAAGTAAGAGAATCCAATGAGGTGATCCTTGAAATTTGGACTTGAAATTTGGATCATAAACCCTTTTGAGCATCTGATAAAGCTATGGTCAGAAAAATCCTAGGACTCATAACATGGGGACTTTCACTGACCACCCCACTGAAGTCCTTTTGGTAACTCCTGGTTAAGAAATCTTATTCTAATGAAACGTATATCGACGATGAATTAATGTGTGATTTTTAAAAAATGGATTTGAGATACATGCAGTAGAGTAGTCTGTGCATGCAAGGAAGTAACCTAATGTGGTAGGTAATGTTGCCTCTCAACCATGCTCTGAGAGAACACAAAAAGTGTACATTCCTTTTCCTGTAATCTAAGAAGTCTGGAATACAAAGTATGGAACTAACTCCTGCTAGAGACAAAAGTGGAAAATACTAAGCATTAAGTTTGTTCAGTGAAAGGAAAATAAACCAGAAGAGCGGCTACCTATTATGGAGGTGATTTTCTAAATGGTTGTTTATTTGGAAGATATTCTAATAGGTTTAAACTATGGTAGATGTTTAATATAGGAAAAATTGACAGGTAATATAAATTATGGACCCAGTTAGCTTTACTTGAAAAGATGATAAAATTAATTTTGATTCAGATACCGTATTTCCCCATGTATAAGACGCTCCTTTTTTCAAAAAATTCGGGGTCTAAAAACTGGGTGCGTCTTATACAGTGGCTGTATGCGCACAAAAAAAAGCGGGAAATGCAAGTTAAAAAATAATCTACAACCACTGTATAAGACGCACCCAGTTTTTAGACCCAAAATTTTTTGGAAAAGGGTGCATCTTATACATGCGGAAATACAGTATTTAGGAATACATTTGACAAGGCATTTGAGATTATAAATTATAAATTTTCATTGAGTTGGAATGTGAACCTGATTCTAAGATGCCCTATCATCCCATCTCATGTTTTATAATAAAATAAAAACGAAAGTGAAATCAATTACTCATTTCTTGAGGTCTGTTATATCTTAGCCATTTGGGTTGTCATGTTACTACAGCTCACTGAGAATTTAGAGGTAGAAATTGAGACTAGCATCTCTTTTCCTGACTTCCCAGCCCTGGTTTATGGCTGCCCTATTGAGAAAACCGTGCTTCCCAATCACAGTGAAGGAATTGAAACTCATCTACAGTCAATCCTCATTATTGTCAGATTTCATATTTGACAATTTTCCTATCTTCTAAAATTTATTTGTAACCCCTAAATCAGTACTCACAGTGCTTTTGATGTCATTCTTGGACACAGAGTGGCAAAAACTTTGAGTCACCTGAGGCACATCTTCCCAGCAAGGTCAAACAAGGCAGCGTTGTGCCTTCATGTTTCAGCTCTCAAACTGTAAGTGTCCTTTTTGTGCTACGTTTTTTTTCTCATTTTTGTGCCTTTTCTTAGTGATTTCGCTATTTGAAATGGCCCCTGAGTGTCATGCTGAAGTGCGGTCTAGTGTTCTAATCAAAAGAAGTCTGTAATGTTTTTTAAGGAGAAAATACCTGCATTAGATAAGCCTCATTTAGGCAGGATTTCTCTTGGCCAAGAGTTCAATATTAATGAATCAACACTTGTACTGATGGTTCACAGAAATGTGACCAGAACGCTTACAGGAACAGAATCCTGTGTATTCTTTAGGAGCAGTGATTCAGTATTCACTAATTCAGTGTTTGTGATGACTTAATAGAACATAACTACCTCGAATAACAAGAACTGACTATTTGCAACATTTATAGTCAAGGAAGCAGGAGCAGAAATGTGTGTGTTGGTGGTGGTATGGCAAAAAGACTTGGGCCTGGCAGGTTAGCTCCTGCAAAGAAGGGCAGTGAGAAGAAGGACCGTTCTGCCATCAACAAGGTAGTGACCAGAGAATACACCATCAACATTCATTAGCGCATCCATGCAGTGGGTTTCAAGACGCGTGCCCCTCAGACACGCAGATCCAGAAATTTGCTATGAAGGAGATGGGAACCCCAGATGCGCGCATTGACAACAGGCTCGACAAAGCTGTCTGGGCCAAAGGAATAAGGAAAGTCCCATACTGTATCTGGGTGCGGTTGTCTAGAAAACAGTGAGGATGAAGATTCACCAAATAAGCTCTATACATTCATTACCTACGTACCTGTCACCACTTTCAAAAATCTACAAACAGTTAATGTGGATGAGAACTGCTGATGGTCAAAGTTATAAAAGCCAAAAAAAAAAAAGAATTTGAGAAAAATTGTGGCTATCTCTGGAGCAAGTTGACCCTTGCTCTGTGTATCATTGTGTACTGGTTCAGATATTTTTATTGTAATGGAATAAAAGAAGTCAGCCCCCTTCCTTGGTTCTACTCAAATTTGTCACTTCCTTAAAAGTAAATAAAGGAATGCCTGACTCCCATTTTTCAAAAACGTGGATCACCTTCCATGTGCATCCTTCACCTTGTTTTCTGTGATTCCCCTTGATTTCAAATGGTACATTTGTATCTTTTTTCAGATGGACATTTTACCTAGTTTTTATTGCTCTCCCATTTTCAAACGTTTTGAATTGCTTTTAAAATAAGTTTATCTGAGCATACAGGCCCTTCCTTCCAGACCTCAAAATTCCTGCTAGCTGGGGGTGGTTGGGATCTTGGGATATACTCGTGTAAAGAAAACTGGTATGCTTCGAACTGAGGTGAATCAGTCACCGGACTTCAGGCTGGTAAATATTCCCCTCATTTCTTTCTCCAGGCAGATTTTATAATGTCATATTTCAGAAAATTCCAACTCGGTGATCTTTGACCTTATTTCCCCAACAGTTTATCATAACCTGAACCACTCCCAGAGCCTGAGGTCAGGGGAGGTGCGTACTAAATGCGGACACAGGACACATGCTAAGAACCCCTGATGACTTGTTAGGTCTTTCTATCTCGAGACTGCTGCTGAGGGACACTGGGCACAGCTCTGTCCTGGACCCTGCAGAGTCAGGAAATCATTTGTCTTTCTAGGCAGGCCAAAGTCTATGTGCCTTCCCTTCTCTGAAAGGGAATCTCTTTTTCCCTGTGGGCCTTATTTTTGGGCAGGATTCACTTTTTTATGCGTGTGTCTCAGCCCAAGAGTCTGGAAGGGATACTCACTCTTGGATCAATTTATATCATACTATTATAATCAAGCTGAGAAGTATATTAGGAGATGGAACCGGCATACCCAGAGTGATCCAAAATTAGTTTTCCCTGGAGCCATCGTGAGAGAGAACCAGAGCAGTGCTATCCTGGTCAGATGTCAGGTGGGAAGAGGTTGCTTACAAAAGAAAATCAAAAGTCTTGGTTGCCCCACTTGCAAATAACCCAAGACAGTTTGTCAAACGACATGGAGGACCTAAAAAGGAAAACCAAACTTGGGGAGAAGTCTTTCCAGGTTCCTTTAAAAGCACGTGAGAGCTAAAGAACAAGCCCTCACATCTCAGGAGTGGTACAGCCAATCCTCCTATACCACACAGGGAGAAAAATGAAAAAAAAAAAAATGCCCAAACCTGTCGCCTTACAGCCCATTCTTAGACCACCCCCCCTGCATTAGCCTCTGACCCATTGACCCATTAGTCGAGAGAGTGTCTCGAAAAACTGAGGCCGGATGGAATGATATCTGTAAAGCTCTTGGGGGGGGGGCGCGTCTCGGCCTGACTGGGACCTGATGGAATGATATCAGCTGTCTCCCCTGGGAGGACATGTAATTATGTC